CCCCCCCCGCCCCGGGTGGACTCCAGGCTCAAATCCTTCCCTGCCTCGGTGCTCCAGGGGCGCCTAGTTTGAGAGCCAGCCACTCCAGCTCCACTTGCCCCTGTGTGCAGAGAAGCGATCGATCCAGCGACGGAGCCGGTGACGGAGCCGGCTATTGTCCCCACAGCTGGGGCAGCCGCAGCCCCCTCCCCCTGCGGCCAGGGAAAGACACCCCCCTCCTGGTCAGGCCCATCGTGGGACAGTGGCAGGGGCTCTCCTGCACCCCCAGGCACCCAGGAGAAGGGGGCCTGGCCAGGCCCCCTCGCTGGGGGCAGGTGCGGACCCAGCTGTTGTCAGCTGGGATGGGGGGGAGGGAGCATGGTCCCCAGGGGGCCGGGGGCTGAGAGTCAGCCAGAGAGAGAGAGATGGAGAGAGCTACGGGGAGTAGCAGAAAGAATGAGGAACAGGAGCAGAACGAGAGCAAGCGAAAAATAGACACCAGTCTGTCCCGACAGAGGTAGAAATGAGGGAAACACAAAACGGAAAAGCCAGGCCGCCAGGAGTGCGCGTACCCGAGCCAGAAGCAACCGCGCAGGGCGGGCGGCCGGCCGGGGTGTGAAGGCCTCCGGGCCGCGCGGGCGAGGGTCCCCCGGGCCGCCCCTCCCCCGCCCGTTCTCGGGTGACCTTTGCCAGCGGCCGGAGAGGGGGAGGGGGCTATTGATCGCTGAGGCCGAGCTACAAAGAAGCGCGCGCTGGGGCCGAGGGCTGAGCGCGGACCCGGCCCTGGCCGCCTCGGCGCGGGCGCCCGGTGCACGGTCCCGGCTCTCTGCCCAGAGCTGGGAGCGCAGCCGGGGGCTTTTCGGGAGGACAGGAGTGGCTCCCGGAGCGGACAACAGCGGCGCGTCTGGGGCACAGCACCTCCCCCGGTCCCCCCCAACACACACACAATGAGCGACCTTGCAGGTTGCTTCGGGGATCCTCCCCACAGTGTGAAAGGAACCAGGGACCCCTCCCCGTTCCCGGAGGGGCCGGGCGGGCTGCTAAGGGTGGGGTGGGGGGGGGAAGGCGGCACAATCCCTTTCTCCCTTTCGGCCAAAGTACAGACGGGCAGGGGCACAGATCACACTCCAGCCTCCTGCCTGCCAGGGAGTCGTGAGCCAGCCGGCGGGGCTGGGGAGCCCCGATCCGGAGCCCCGGGGTCCGGCGGTGTGCGCCGCGCTCCTACCTGCTAGGCGCAGCGCCGACATGCGCTGGAACTCGGGTTCCTGCAGCCACTTCCACATCCTGCGGAAGGTCTCCCGGCCCGACTTGAGCTTGCTCCACGGCTTGGGGTTGCGCAGCAGGTCGGAGAGCGTGCCCTGGGAGCGGCACAGGATGCGCTGCGCGAAAATGGCCTGCGGGATGCTGTAGCGCTTCAGCTCGGCCGTGATGCGCTGCGCCACCTCCTTGGTGTTGATCTCCTCGGCCGCCGCGCCCGCCCCGGGGCCGCC